GAGAAGTCTACTACTAAAGTATCCAAATCAAACCCCAGAACTTTCTTGGCAGCAAAATACTTTTACTATGTTGACAAAAACAACAACAAAAACAAAACCAAGTGCACACACACACACACACACACACACACACACACACACACCAATAACAACAAAAATACCACAGAATTCACTTCAAAGGGAATAAGGGATGGTTTATTTGTATGACTATGGCCCTAGAACCAAACATTAAGTTACCTAATTAGATTAGATCCTATTAGATACCTAATTCAATCCCATGTTGCAACATGGAAGTAGTTTGGTGGGTTTTATATGAAAAGAACAAAGAAAATTATAAATTGAGACATTTAGAAAATACATTGATGGAAATATCACTTGGGCAGCTACAGCAGGCAGAGGAATCTCAAGTGTAGGCAGCATTCATAGCCCCTCCACTGAAGGAGAGTAGGGCTTTGTTAATACATTTCAGAGACATTTATTTGTTTATCAGGATGGTAGGTTGATCCAGAGGTAGAAAAAACATGACTCTGTGGGAGTCTAAGGTAGACCAAAAGAAACTGTCATTGTGTTATCCATCAGCAGCTTCCAAAACTTCGCATAGTCATTGTCGTCTGAATCACTTGGTCAGCCTATGCACACAGCTTCCTTCTGTTTCTTGTTTATACTACTAACTGGGAAGTAAAGACTGTACTTTGTCTCATCATTTTACATTATCTTTTAATGTATTCATTTATTTGTTTTGCCAAATGAATAAAGTGCAGATGGAGTTGTTATTGATAAAAAACAGGTCTCCATTTAGTGGATTGTGAGACTAACTAGAACTCTGTACTAATATGTACAGCGGGGAAGAAGCGAGGCATACTATTTATTCTTGGGTGATATTTGCAGAAGCTGCCAGATAAAGCTAGGCAGAAAACCAGTTAGCTGACTTATCACAAACCCTGGGTCAGCGGGATCTGAGCTCTCAGCATGGTCCAAGCCCAGCTGCATCAATAATGGCTGCATCATCAGTGAATATTCCCTCTCATTGCTCTTGGCAGTTGCTTTGTTTTTTAGACTTCTCAGTACGGGATACTTGGAGGAGTTGCAGTTTGCCTTCTTGAAATACTACCTCTTTGTCGGTGACCTCCTCTAGTCGGAGGGCTTAAAAGCCATCTAAATTCTGTCTGGTTTCTTCTGCAACCTCTCTGAACTCCAGACTCATGCAAGCTGCCGCCTCTCAGATCCCCACTTGAATGACTAAGGGCCATCTTCTAGCATGACACTTCCAGAACTGACTGTGTATCACCTTCCACAATTGCCTCCCTCTCACAGTCTTCCAAAATATATTTTTTTAGATAGAGATAATTTCTCAGTTTTGATTACATCCTCCTGTGCACGTACCTCACCAGCATGTGCCACTTCATATGCAGCTGTTAACCTCTTCCTTCTTCCATCGAACTTTTCTTGAAGGGAGAAGTCCATAACTTATATTCTAGAAAAGAATTTTGCTTGACATTATGTGAAATAAGAGTATTTGATTTGGGAGTCATAATTTGTAATGGCTGCATTTTTTTTTTATTATTTAAGACCTTTATTAACAGGTGCTTGCAGTTTGTTGACTTTTTTTAAAAAAAAAAATCAAGTTGTTAACCTTTATTACAAATTAAAAATGAAGTTCTTAAAAATCTCAACTTGACCAGATATGAAACAATTTAAAAACCATTAAAGGTGTATTGAGAAAAACCAGACCTTTTTTTAAAAAAACAAAACAAAACACATTTGTCATTACCAAAAAGAGACATCTTTAGGTAAAAATAATAAAAACCCCATGCTGCATAGATAATGCAGATAGTTCTAGTGTATGACAACCAGGGTGCAGGAGAGCAAGGTAGACCAGTGAGACAGAATATGTATCAGGGTTACAGGACCACGATTCCGCAGGGGCCCTCCTCACCAAAGACAGCCTAGAGAGGATGGCAATGAAGAGGACAAGGAAAATCAAGAAGAGGAGACCCAAGGTCAGCAGCCACCTCAACGTCGGTACCGCCGCAACTTCAATTACCGACGCAGACGCCCAGAGAACCCTAAATGGCTGCATTTTGTAATATCTTTGTTTACTAAGATGACAGGGTCTGTATTCACAGAGAAGTCTAACATTGCACAGAATCTTTTTTTTTTTTTTTTTTTTTTGTTTTTT